GGCCCAGTCTAACCCAAACTGACCCGCTCCAGTCTAACCCAAACTGACCCGGCCCAGTCTAACCCAAATTGACCTTACCAGTCTTGACCTGATCTAAACTGACCTGATCCAATAGAAAAAAACTGCTGACTTAACCTGACCCATGCCAACCCAAACTAATCTGATGTGACATGACTGAATCCAATCAAAACTGACCTGTCCCATTCCAACCCAAGCTGTCCTGACTTGACCCAATCTGACCCAAACTGACTTGACTTGATCCGACACAAACTGATTTGATTTGAATTGACCTGACCTGGCCAGACCCATTCCATTTAAAAATTACAATTTGTGTTATTCCTTGACAATAAAGAAAGAAAACTCTACTGGTGTGATTACCAACTCAGCAAACTAGAAAAATGTGATCTTGATGGAGAAAATAGAGTTACACTGATCCAGCTGTCGGTCAATGAAGAGCCATTCAGTTTAGTATTATCTGACAGTTACATCTACTGGTCTGACTGGAGGAAACATGGCTTGATGAGAGCCGATAAGTCTACTGGTAATAATGTGATCAGTGTAGGATATCAAGAATTTAATATTATTTATCATATCCATCTTCATTCACAACAAACAATGATAACAGGTAAGTGCATGTGCGCAGATTTCTCTCAAAAATATATTGCTATGTTTGTGACAATAAATTAAAGTGCCTGTGAAATGCCCACCAACACATTTCCTGTTTTAGATTTGTGTTTCACTGAAATAGACAGTTATTGATTTTGTTGTTGAAAATGATTTCTCGTATTCGAGTAAAGTTGAGGTATTTCTCGTGTTGTAGCCACGCCCACCTATCCTGAAAGCAATCGACTGTTTCTATTTTTACGAATCTAGCCGAAGTAAAAGTGTGCCATCAAAGGGCAAAATATGAGAGGAAGCCATACTCTTGCGCTATACTTTTATAATACTATTAGTGGTTTTTTGGTCAGCGTTTTTTTAAAACATATTTTTGGCAGATGTAGCAATGCATATAGTAATAGTGTGAGAATCGACATGTTTTCAAAGGATCCAAAGATGTGACATCAGTAGACGAACAACATAAAATCAATGAGAAAAAGTTGTACATTCTCCCTATCCTCGGGGGCGGACATCCGGGCATTTTCTACCACCTGGCAACCCTCGCGGTGAAAATAAAGACCAAAAACTCGCAGAAAACGGTACTTTGCGATGGTTGTTGAGAGTCCCCTGGACAGTGTAACAAGATTAGCCCTACGTGTGTAACATATATGAATTTGGTTGTTCAGGATTACTTCAAAGTTGAGTTTGTGTTGTTTTCTCGAGTTTTCACCGGCTCCACAGGCATCCCACAGCAGCGTGCACAAAGCCCATAGAAATACGTGGTACAGTGGTGCGCGTCTTAGCAACGTAGAACGTCCGTGACGTAGCTCCGCCCCCGAGGATACCATCGTACCGCAGATTCGCCAAACAACTACCGGTATATCCTGATTTATAAAAGAACAACATGGATTTATAAGGACAAGTGCTGAAAAATTAGACCTAGCACAGTACTCTCAAGTCCCAAATAAACAAACCCCGGAATAAATAAACCCCCCGGAAAATTTCCAAAATGCGGTAAATTGTTCTCTTGCTTCTAAAAGGTGCAATTGCAAAATAAGATGTAATATGATATTTTTTTTATACATACATATACAGGTAGCAATGGTTGTTCTGATGCAAGAAATGGAGGCTGCAGTAGTCTGTGTTTACCAACACCAACTGGCAGGTCATGTGACTGTCCACAAGGGGTAGAAATGAAAGATGATGGGACAACATGTCATGGAGGTAACGTTTCCTCTATCTTGTTGTATCTGACCAAAACAAGATTTCTGCATGTGTCTTGAATGCAATGCACATCTAAACGTCTTGAAATTTGGATCTCATAATTGTCCTACTTTGGGATTTTTTCATTTCATTTCATTTCATTTTGCTTTCCTTTTAATAATTTTTTCATATATTCAATTATTTCAATTTTATTTTGATTCATTATTTTTTTTTGCTGATTTATTTGTTTTTTAAGTAGGTGATTAAAAAAAAGCAAAAAATACTAAATAATAAAAAAAAAATGTTAAAAATAAAATGTTACAAAACTTATTTTTTCATATATTCAATCATTTCAATTTGTTTGCTGATTTATTTGTTTCTTTAGTATGTAATTAAAAAAAAGCAAAAAATACTTTAATTAAAATAAATTAGTCTGATTAAACTATTTGTCATATAAATTCAGGCAGTTTTTACCTTCATTCTAACACTCTTGTTTTCTAGAAATATTTAAGAAATAATTATCTTGGTGTTAATTTACAATCTGCTGTTTGAGTGTATTTGTTTGCACCATCTTTTGGTTTTGCTATAACTAACAATTCTTTTATGTCATATTGCAGTTGAAAGATGCCCAGCTGATTTCTCACATGGTAGCGTGAGACCAGATTGTATTACATTACCGGGGTATACATGTACCATACAATGTGATCCAGGTTACCAGATATCCTCCAGTGACCAGATAACATGTTTAGCTACCGGACAGTGGGATACAAACCCATCAGTTTATTGTGTTGGTATGTATGGTTCACTTACTTGGATATGAAATTTAGAACACCTTATTCATTAACCTACCTATAATCCGGTGCTCGATCAGTTAATTTTGTTATGAATGTGCACGCTTTCCAAGATACTTACCATGACATTTAATACATATCTATTGTACCCACTGACAG